AGTTACCTGTGCCGGAGACTTTTCAGCGAACGGAGCTGCAACGGCTGTTAAGGAGCAATAGGTTATAGCCTTATAGGAGTGCGGCTTTCCGGTGGGCTTTCTATATTGGTCCATTGGGCTTTTTGATCTGCGAACGCCCGTAAAGAAGGCCACTGGGCTTTAAGCCCACTACTAGATCCATTTGCCGCAATGCTTATTACTCATGGAAACACGGAGTTATGATTTATTTATTGTACAAATGTCACCTCCCAACTTTTTCTTCTTTAACATTTTCAATAGAAGAAGACCCACCATCAATAATTTTTTCTGTCCTTTCGAAAATGTTGGATCGACGTAAAGTTCAGCAACAGCCACAATTCTCAAATTTTATTATACAAGTAATAGTAATTTACTTCAATTTCGATTGGAAATTTGTATAAATTATATATTTTGATCACGAAGGATTAGAAGGGGGAACTTGGTAAATTTGTCTTTCAGTAACAACAAATTAAGCCTCTGTTTGATGGTATTAAATTCTAGATTTTTATCAAAATTAGAGTTAATAATTAATTTTAACTACACATCTCATTAAACCCATCACTTATCAATCATATATTTTATCAACTTTAATCAAAATTTGTTAAAAATTTTAATTTTAATCCACTCCAATCAGGAGCTAAATATTTTTACGAGTAGACAACCATACAAAAAGCATCAAGTGCATATACAAGACTGAATAATTCAGCTTTTAGTTTGGCCAACCCCGAATTAGTCACTTGATTCGATACCAGCCACTTTAGGGTTAAACAAAAACCCCAGGGAAAAGGTGTATATCCACTTTTTGCCTAAGATTCAATTGCTTTATAAATAACTACAAAGCAAGGTAGAATGGCCCTTGGATTAAAAACATATAATTCCTCGATATTTGAGTAAATTCCAGCACATCCAGCTACGGAATCATAAGAACGAATAGGTGACATGCCAATTCTATCTTCTTCAAATGTTGCATTATTCACCACTTGCTTGACTCTTCCAGCTATAACACGACACACAAGCATTGCCCTTCGCACATCCCCACTTCCAAGGCAATCGTGGGCCCTCCCACTACTAGCAGTTGTGTGAACACCACTCACCTTGTTTCCTTGAAAGCCATGTCGGATGATAGTGCACACTCCGCAACCTGGGAAGGACCCGCACAACCTAGTTGACCCACGAGTGCCAAGCGAACATATAAGTGTTGTGCAGTAAAACCTTAACAACTCATTTCCATCCGCTGCACACCGGGGGTTTTTCTTGGTATTGCTATTTGCACGTATTTTAACTGCGTCTCTACTGTCCTCAAACCGTTGGATTGTGCGTTGAGTGTTGTGTACTTTTAATACTCGCTCAATGTTGCAAACTGAGTTATCCTTCTTGAGCCAACTTGATGTGAAGATAATCTCCACTATGTTGCGGCTTGAATCTTCTTCGCCGATTTCAGAAACTACAAAGAACCAAATGAAAAATATAAATGCAAGAAATACTAAGTTAACAGTAGGAAAATGCTACTCTTACCGACGAAAGGTATACTAATTTTGCAATTATTTATTTGTGTTTCAATAATCAACATAAATTTACGAATTTGAAACACATCTAGGTTAATTCTTCGGTTAGGCAATATTTATGTAGATAGAATATGTACTATTAAACCCACTTTAGAACTCTAGACAAATGCATTAATGATTGACATTTGGATTTTTAGTTAGTTTGACATAGATGAGATCGTATTTGAAGGAAGACAAAATTGCAACTGAGGCAATATGTTGGGGACCAAACTTAATACCAAAGCAATACATCAAGGATCGATAGTGAGATTCTCTGCATATATTAGCTACGTGACGCTGAAATGTAGAACATGAACATGGACCAAACAAATGATAGCTACAATTCCCAGTTTATATAATTTGATGGGACACAAAATAATGCATTATTGATCTAGACATAGCAGATGTAACCCCTTCAAATTAGGACAAAAAATACAATGAGGAAAATGTCATATGTACAGGGGTATTGTTTACAGAATTTTTACAGAACACTCACATGAAATGAGCACCATGTGATTAAAATATTGTAAAAAAGTATCACCCCACGCACTCTTCATGTGTGTGTCCTGTACAGGGCTTGTACATGTAGCTTTGCCCATACAATAAACATAAGTGTCCTGCCACAGCTAGAATGACAAAATAAGTGGCACAAAAAGTCAAAAAAAACATTGGCCTTGTCCTATTTTTTAGCTACTTTATAATAATTTATATAATCATAGAAGACTTTGGGCTATACACGAAAAAAGGACAGCAAAAATAAATACTAACATGTACCTGCGTGCCTAATGGCTTGATGATGTTCCAAGCTTTCAATTTTTGGGAACACATCTCCACATTCGGAGCAAGCACATATAGTTGTTCTTGGCAATGGATACCTGCAAAACAAAATATTGATTGGAATTAAAATTAAAATTTTAATTTAGATCAAAGTTAATAATTAATTTTAACTACATATTTCACATTATACACAACTTCTCGATCGCGCATTTTATTAATTTTTATCAAAATTTACTAAAAATCTTATTTTAACCTCCCCGAACAGGGCTTATCACAATTTGTTTTTCTTTTAGGGCAACATTTTATTTAGCAAGATTTCAAACATTATTAATTAAATCACGAACAGCAAAGGTTTGGTCATAATATTGTCGATAATATAAAGAAAAGAGTTATAATAGGTTGACAATGATGAAGTATTATAGCCTACTGATTTATAAAAATTGTACACGTCTTTAATTTTTATGAAAATATTGTCTCGGCTTAAGTAAGTTCATCATCTCTAACTTTTTAACTAGGCCGTTGGGTACCTGTTAGGATCAACAATCGAGTGACACTCATAACACCCAGAAAGCTTCCTGAATTGCATGCCTCTGGATGATCCTGCTATATATGTTGTACCACCGCCACCACTTGATCTCACTGAACTAGAAATTGACCTTGAAGAAGAAGATGACCAATTACTACTTTTCTTGCTCAAAAGCATCGTTTCTTGCCCCGGGGAGTTATCCGCTCTGTGAACGACCCTTGTGTTGCCATGAACAATATCTCCAAATGGACAAATAGAACTGCAGGAAGAGCTCAAAAAAGTTGCAGTGTTATTCTTTGAAGGATCGTGAATTTTTGAATCTTGGATTTGTTTGCAACTGAGCAAGTTCTTGATTTGGTTCCATGAAGAAGATGACGTCTGGTTATTCTTCTGGTGCTTTTTCTTCCGCTTGGACAGTTGTTTCTTGGCCACCGCCGCCGCCTGCTCGGGTGGGAAACTGAGGACTGCCATGAAATCACAGTTTTTATTTAAATACAAAGCTGAATCCTGAATGGGAATTGAAATTTGTTAAATTCCGCTGTGCATGTTTAAGTAAATTCCCAACATAAACCATTGCCCCCTTCTTATCATCTTTCCTTGCCAGACCATTAGCTAAAGCACTGATAGAAGCTCCACTCACTTCAGCTCGATGATAAGGCAAGTGCCAAGGAACGAAATATTCCTGCTGGGATGCACAGTCCTCTTCAGTTTTAGAAGCCAATGACTGATCTCCATCTCCAGAGTTCGATTGCACAATTTTATGTGACACAACATCTGAAGATTGGGCAGGAAAATTGTTTGACTGCTCCCCAGGACCATTTTCTGCAATTTCAGGGATGCTTTCTAGAGCGAATGTAGATGATGCATTGCGAACTCGAGGGCTACCAGGACCTATCCACTCCTCTAAATACTTTTGAGTAAGCGGAGTCCATTTGTTAATCAATAATCTATCTTCTTGTTCCCTAGCCCAAACTGTAATTAGGACAAGGCCACCTGTTTTAACAACACGAATCAATTCATCTACTGCTTTCCTCCTCCTGCTTTCTGTGCTCAGGTGATGTAACACAGCAATGGAAATTGCAGCATCGCTGTAACCAGTGCGGTAAGGAAGATTTACAGCATCAGCAACTAGAATTTCATGCCCTTTATCTGCACATATTTTGACAAGCGGAGGACTAATATCACAGCCAATGAAATAGCAATCGGAATTCAAGCCTAAGTATTTCCCATTTCCGCATCCTGCATCTAAGACGAGCGATCCTCGAGGCAAAGAGTTTAAGAACATTTGCACTTTGGGCCACTTTGCAAACCTAGTAGAATTAAAATGGGGAGCAATTGCATCATAAACGCGATGAACATACTTCTTCTCAATTTCTGGGGTCGAGTGAACTTCTGAGGATAGACATTTTTGTTCAGACCTCATGGATATAGATGGTAAAACATGCAAATCTGCATCAGAAACAGGGGAACACAAACCAGAGGAATTATCTACCCCTATTCCTTTCATACCATACAATCTTCTCGTATGATGACGGACGGAGGTAAATATGACAGTCGAGCAAGCCAAGACTCCTTCAATGCAAAATGTTCTAGCTCTCACAGCATCAAGGATCATAACATAATAACTGGCAAGATTCTATAGTAGGAATACCAAGAAAAAAATTCAAATCAGCCAATACACAAAAGAACGACTAGAAAAATATGACATGCAGCAAAAAAGCACGAAACACAACTAAATTGAAACAAAAAAGTGCCTGCTTTGGTTTAAGATAATCTCTTCTAATTAATAATCAATAAAAGAAAGTACCAATAGATGCCTTTATCTTGAGGAGAACAAGAACCCATAAAAGAGAAATGGATGCAGAACTGCAGATTATCTGCTAATTCAGATCAGAGAGCCAATTCCCTATCAAGGAACACATACAGATTGTTCACAGGTATATATAATAGCTCCCAACTTATTTCCACGAAAGAGAGGGGGGAAGGCAAAAGAAGTTCTTTAGTGCATTTTTTCATACATATTATGTGCATAATCAAAAACTAATGTTCATGTCACAACACTAAGCCTAACTACAATACAGCTTAATCACATCAAATTATTGAGGGAAAATTTAAATCAAGAAAATAAGATATTATTCAAATCAGAACCAAATATTCGAGTAATTGAGTTACCTGTGCCGGAGACTTTTCAGCGAACGGAGCTGCAACGGCTGTTAAGGAGCAATAGGTTATAGCCTTATAGGAGTGCGACTTTCCGGTGGGCTTTCTATATTGGTCCATTGGGCTTTTTGATCTGCGAACGCTCGTAAAGAGGGCCACTGGGCTTTAAGCCCACTACTAGATCCATTTGCCGCAATGCTTATTACTCATGGAAACACGGAGTTATGATTTATTTATTGTACAAATGTCACCTCCCAACTTTTTCTTCTTTAACATTTTCAATAGAAGAAGACCCACCATCAATAATTTTTTCTGTCCTTTCGAAAATGTTGGATCGACGTAAAGTTCAGCAACAGCCACAATTCTCAAATTTTATTATACAAGTAATAGTAATTTACTTCAATTTCGATTGGAAATTTGTATAAATTATATATTTTGATCACGAAGGATTAGAAGGGGGAACTTGGTAAATTTGTCTTTCAGTAACAACAAATTAAGCCTCTGTTTGATGGTATTAAATTCTAGATTTTTATCAAAATTAGAGTTAATAATTAATTTTAACTACACATCTCATTAAACCCATCACTTATCAATCATATATTTTATCAACTTTAATCAAAATTTATTAAAAATTTTAATTTTAATCCACTCCAATCAGGAGCTAAATATTTTTACGAGTAGACAACCATACAAAAAGCATCAAGTGCATATACAAGACTGAATAATTCAGCTTTTAGTTTGGCCAACCCCGAATTAGTCACTTGATTTGATACCAGCCACTTTAGGGTTAAACAAAAACCCCAGGGAAAAGGTGTATATCCACTTTTTGCCTAAGATTCAATTGCTTTATAAATAACTACAAAGCAAGGTAGAATGGCCCTTGGATTAAAAACATATAATTCCTCGATATTTGAGTAAATTCCAGCACATCCAGCTACGGAATCATAAGAACGAATAGGTGACATGCCAATTCTATCTTCTTCAAATGTTGCATTATTCACCACTTGCTTGACTCTTCCAGCTATAACACGACACACAAGCATTGCCCTTCGCACATCCCCACTTCCAAGGCAATCGTGGGCCCTCCCACTACTAGCAGTTGTGTGAACACCACTCACCTTGTTTCCTTGAAAGCCATGTCGGATGATAGTGCACACTCCGCAACCTGGGAAGGACCCGCACAACCTAGTTGACCCACGAGTGCCAAGCGAACATATAAGTGTTGTGCAGTAAAACCTTAACAACTCATTTCCATCCGCTGCACACCGGGGGTTTTTCTTGGTATTGCTATTTGCACGTATTTTAACTGCATCTCTACTGTCCTCAAATCGTTGGATTGTGCGTTGAGTGTTGTGTACTTTTAATATTCGCTCAATGTTGCAAACTGAGTTGTCCTTCTTGAGCCAACTTGATGTGAAGATAATCTCCACTATGTTGTGGCTTGAATCTTCTTCGCCAATTTCAGAAACTACAAAGAACCAAATGAAAAATATAAATGCAAGAAATACTAAGTTAACAGTAGGAAAATGCTACTCTTACCAACGAAAGGTATACTAATTTTGCAATTATTTATTTGTGTTTCAATAATCAACATAAATTTACGAATTTGAAACACATCTAGGTTAATTCTTCGGTTAGGCAATATTTATGTAGATAGAATATGTACTATTAAACCCACTTTAGAACTCTAGACAAATGCATTAATGATTGACATTTGGATTTTTAGTTAGTTTGACATAGATGAGATCGTATTTGAAGGAAGACAAAATTGCAACTGAGGCAATATGTTGGGGACCAAACTTAATACCAAAGCAATACATCAAGGATCGATAGTGAGATTCTCTGCATATATTAGCTACGTGACGCTGAAATGTAGAACATGAACATGGACCAAACAAATGATAGCTACAATTCCCAGTTTATATAATTTGATGGGACACAAAATAATGCATTATTGATCTAGACATAGCAGATGTAACCCCTTCAAATTAGGACAAAAAATACAATGAGGAAAATGTCATATGTACAGGGGTATTGTTTACAGAATTTTTACAGAACACTCACATGAGATGGGCACCATGTGATTAAAATATTGTAAAAAAGTATCACCCCACCCACTCTTCATGTGTGTGTGTCCTGTACAGGGCTTGTACATGTAGCTTTGCCCATACAATAAACATAAGTGTCCTGCCACAGCTAGAATGACAAAATAAGTGGCACAAAAAGTCAAAAAAAACATTGGCCTTGTCCTATTTTTTAGCTACTTTATAATAATTTATATAATCATAGAAGACTTTGGGCTATACACGAAAAAAGGACAGCAAAAATAAATACTAACATGTACCTGCGTGCCTAATGGCTTGATGATGTTCCAAGCTTTCAATTTTTGGGAACGCATCTCCACATTCGGAGCAAGCACATATAGTTGTTCTTGGCAATGGATACCTGCAAAACAAAATATTGATTGGAATTAAAATTAAAATTTTAATTTAGATCAAAGTTAATAATTAATTTTAACTACATATTTCACATTATACACAACTTCTCGATCGCGCATTTTATTAATTTTTATCAAAATTTACTAAAAATCTTATTTTAACCTCCCCGAACAGGGCTTATCACAATTTGTTTTTCTTTTAGGGCAACATTTTATTTAGCAAGATTTCAAACATTATTAATTAAATCACGAACAGCAAAGGTTTGGTCATAATATTGTCGATAATATAAAGAAAAGAGTTATAATAGGTTGACAATGATGAAGTATTATAGCCTACTGATTTATAAAAATTGTACACGTCTTTAATTTTTATGAAAATATTGTCTCGGCTTAAGTAAGTTCATCATCTCTAACTTTTTAACTAGGCCGTTGGGTACCTGTTAGGATCAACAATCGAGTGACACTCATAACACCCAGAAAGCTTCCTGAATTGCATGCCTCTGGATGATCCTGCTATATATGTTGTACCACCGCCACCACTTGATCTCACTGAACTAGAAATTGACCTTGAAGAAGAAGATGACCAATTACTACTTTTCTTGCTCAAAAGCATCGTTTCTTGCCCCGGGGAGTTATCCGCTCTGTGAACGACCCTTGTGTTGCCATGAACAATATCTCCAAATGGACAAATAGAACTGCAGGAAGAGCTCAAAAAAGTTGCAGTGTTATTCTTTGAAGGATCGTGAATTTTTGAATCTTGGATTTGTTTGCAACTGAGCAAGTTCTTGATTTGGTTCCATGAAGAAGATGACGTCTGGTTATTCTTCTGGTGCTTTTTCTTCCGCTTGGACAGTTGTTTCTTGGCCACCGCCGCCGCCTGCTCGGGTGGGAAACTGAGGACTGCCATGAAATGTAGAAGAGATAGAAAATGGAAGAGAGGTTCAGTTGAAAATTCTCTTTGTCATGAAAGTCGTGTACACAGAAAGATGCTCTTGAAATTTGACAGGAATTTCTTTAATGGAGAGGGATCCAAGAAATGTAGATTATATGTGCGTGGGGGTGGGTTGGAGAAGTGGATCTTCACTGTAATAAAGTTTATTTTCTAATTCCAATGTTTTGTGTAATTTGTATTAACCCCATGATACGTTTGTCTTATTGAGCAATTGTACATGATTTTTTATATAGAATAATGTTAATGTTATAAGAATAAATAAAAAGTATTCTTGAATGTACTTAAGAATTTGAAGCAGTGTTGTAAAATTCGGATCGGACCCGAAAACCGTCTAATTTATGGAAAATCTCAACTTGTATAATTTTTTTTGACCATCATCGATTCGACTCAAAAATTTTCTAACCTATGGAAAATCTCAACTTGCATCATTTTTATTGACTATGGTACGATGACTGGGTCAAAATGGGAATTCATCAAGTGGTCAAGACTACTTGAGTGCTTTGGGCCCAAAATTTGATTGGAATGATTAAACCATACACGTGAAGTATTAAGACTGCAAAGTTTGGTGTTTATACAAGTAACATGCGTCACTATTTGCTCACTTGGAGTTGCTCTTTTTTCTTTCTCCTTTCTTTTTCCCTGAATAAAAGTGGGAAGATGAGGAAGCTATCAATGTCCTTTGTCTCGTGAAGGCCCCTTTGCTTAAAAGATTGATTATTTAGAATGTTATGCTCGGATAAGTGTTATTGGTGTCGTGGTGGTGGGGTAGGGTGTGGTGGTTAAGGCTATGGTGTTGTTGGTGTTACAGATTGGTGTTATTGGTATCGTAGTGGTGGTGCCGACGACAGCGATGGGTGGCAGTGTTTGTTTGGTGATGGTCACAAATTAATTGGGTTGATTGTGACCATTAAAATGGCAATCCGTGTCCTGAAAATTGTGACTGTGACTCGCAATTGCATATGTGACTTGAAAATTGTGACCGTGAGTCGCAATTGATTAATTTGTGGATGAAAAATTAATCGTGATCAATTAATTCAATAACTTGAAATGAATAAATGAATTGTGACCAATAAATGTTTTGAATATGTGAATGATGAATAATCTGTGACTTGTAAAATTTTTGGATTCATGATTGAAAAATACTCTATGACCTATAAAATTTTTGATCTGTGATCGAGAAATAAGTTACGCCCAATAATTTGATAAGTTGTGATTAAAAATTAATTTGTGACTAAGTAATTTCATAATTGTGACAAAAAATTGTGACCTAAATATATTAAATTAATAAAATAATTAAATCATAAATAATTTTTAATAAAAATTTGATTTTTGAATTTTGAAACTTATTTTTTTAATTTTGAAATCTACCATATTTAATTTCTCATTTATGAAATTTTCCCAAAATTGATATATGGCAGCCTAGAGGGCTAAAGCCCAAGCAGTAAAACTAGCTTGTGCCTTTGTTATGAAGCCCAAACCTATCCCAACCCAATTTATATTATGTCCAATTCGGGCAATGTCAGATTGAAAATAAAAGGAAATTAAAATCTACTTAGGGTTTACGTTTGTCCCTAAACCCTTCATGCAAACAAATTCAATCCAATTATTTTAGGACCTTTCAGTAATTGATCATATTCTCCTCAATAAAGATGGATTCTTTAATATCAGATATGTCGATAAGCAAATCTGGAGGAATTTCCTGTAAAGATCAAAACCGTAGAATCACCTGGGAGGGCTGCAGCGTCTTGCTTGACATCAATGACGGCGATCGAGTGCTTTTTGCTCGTCTCACTGCTGGCTCGTAAGCCATTATTCTCATTCGCATGCAGGACATACTCATATACGTGATACATATTTGAAAAAAAGTACTTGTTTTGGGAATTTTCAGGAAAATAAAAATTGGAAACAAGAATTGCTCACTGCAGCCTTTGATTGGGTGTCCTTTTGGGTCTTCCTTTCAAGTGGAGGACGGTAAAGAAGGGCCAGTTTTATCCCGTGTTTTGCAATCTACTAAAGGTTTACCTTTCTGCTCAGTTTTGCCGGAAACAACAATTTTTTTGCTATTTTATTTTTATTTTTTTTACTGTCTACTTGTTCTGCTGTATGTTGTTTCGTGATTTTACTGCTTCAATAAATTGATTTCGTTTCCATTGTACATCTTTTAAGTTATTTGTAGTATATACGAGTTTGTGGTAATATGTATCTACATACAGTGATCAAGCATTAATCTGAAGACTGCGGTAAATATTCTACTCTCCAACTCGAGATGATCTAGTATTTAACTGATATCAGAGGGGACAAAATATTTGTGTTATGAAGTCATTAATCGTTAACTTTGTTGATGATAATTTAAGTCTTAATGAGCTGCTTGATTACTTGAGTGGAAGATTTCTTTGTATTTCCCAGCAATCTGTGTGTTTGTTTAATGCTTTTTTTGTTTATTTATTGATGATATTACTTTTATTTGGACACTTTAAGCAGTAGTAAAATGTGTGAGCTAAAATGTTTAAGTTCTGAGAGCAAGGGAAGATTTTCTTCAATGACAATGACAAAGCACGTGACAAAATGAAAAGCAGGGGAGAGCAATTAGACTGAAGTACACGTGAAACGCCAAAAGAAACTGAGCAGTTAAGAGATTGTGGAAGAGTGTTTCTTTTTTTCCTTGTGGAACGAGTGTATATACTCTAGTAGTGCTGTTTGACATTTTGTAGATCCATTCTAAGACATCACTCATAGATGTTCTCCTACTTCTTTTAAGCAAAAAAATAAAAAATAAAAATAAAAATCAATGCTGATAAATTTGCTGAATCATCGCTATTAGGTAATAGTCTTCAAATCACGGAGGAGTCCAGAGATAACCGAATGTTGGTTGATAACAACAGCGCCCAGAGTCTCACTGGTGAAGATATAGACGAGATGCGAAGGTCAGAGTTTTTTATATATATGTTAAGAGTTAAATCAATTTTGCGACTCCTACATTGTTTTGACTCATAGAATTATTTTTCTTTAGACGGCCTGCAAATTTCTGTAGTACAACTATTATGCCTCCATTTGGGAAGGATTTATGAACAGTTTAATTTATGAATAGATAGACATGAGGGATGGATAAGTAGATAGTACTTGTGGATCCATTGGATGTGTGGTGGAAAATGAAGTTTGACCATTTATATATAATTTATAAATTTTACCAAATGTTAGGTATGCATCCTCATGTGAGCATCAACATGTCTTGTCATGGATATTGACTCTCCTTGAACACTTCAAGACATGATTAACTAATATGTTACAAAACTACTCAACTGATTCAAAAGATTTCACCAATAAAAAAGTCGGAACTAAAAGATATTTATTTTAATAAGACATTAAAATATAACAATAATTATAGACAATATATACAGATTTACAATTGTCAAGAATTTGACATATTTTGACATGTAGGTCTCCTAGTTTTTTGAAAATCACGTGTCATCATATCCGTGCCAATGCTTCTTAGGTTATACTTTAACCTCTTCTTTGTTGAGGGAAAGTTTTGTTTGCAATTTTTTACTCTATTGCATTTGCTTGTCAATCAATATTCTTCCAAAGTACTGCTCATACCAATCGTATCTATCCTTATTGCATTTGATGGGGTTTGATGCAGAAAAGGAGCATCTGGGGATGAAATAGTTAAAGCACTCATTGCAAATAGTGCAACATTTGAGAAGAAAACAGCCTTTTCTCAGGTGCTTATGGCTTATATATAAACTGTGAATTTATGTTGGAAAATTTATCTGATTATAAATCTTTCTGCAGGAAAAATATCTTCTTAAAAAGCAGAAGAAATATGCGCCAAGAGTACTTCTAAGACGTCCTTTTGCACGAAGGTCAGCTCTAAAATCCTTTGTCCTTGTGGCAAGTTTGGTTAGGCATCGTGTTTTTAATAACAATAATGAAATTATAATGTCATAAGGAACTATTATATTATAATACTAATGAAATTTCTTTAATTCATTTGAGCTTTTGGCAAATGTTTACATGTTAATGTGCATAAATATTTGTTGTCCATTTTTTAATACCTAATATTGAAAGCCAGACCGAGCTTCAATCAGTATTCAGGATTTTCTCATTCATCCTTGTTGGTTTCTACTCTTAATGAGTTAATGTTATTGGCTGCTGACTCTGCTATAAATGTGTATGGCCAGAATACGAGATTAACGAGTTCTATGACTCTTCATTTTCTGCATCATGCAATTTAAACAAGCATCTATATGTAGCTGTACTCTGCTTTATGGCTCATGTCAAAATCCTTTAAGATTATCTGAAGTGGTAATTGTTTTTTAATGTTCTCATGAAGTGGTTACTTTCAGATTGTACACGTTTGGAGCTTGCGTGCGGAGTCTATCACCTAGTCTTCTTTGTCTAAAAGAATGTGATTGACCTGATAAGTAAAGTAAAGAGCTTAATTTAAAATGATGTTCTGAGGATATTGACATGCTGTGCAACCTGAGGTTTTAGGATATTTGAGCTTTAAAATTCTTTTCATCCTTTTATATCTTAACTAAAGCATGATTTGGTTTGGATTGTGCAAAGTATTCCAATCTTCGAATGATCAAGCTGTGAAGGAAATCAAAGAATCATTAAGAACTAGTTATACTTGTAACGACAAAGTTTATTAATCATCTGGGGGAAAAAAAAAAAAGTCATTTTTTTATTTACAGATGTGAACAGAAGATGTAGGACTCACCTCTCTGATGAAGTCTTTTTTTTTTTTTTTTTTTCCTTTTTTCTGGGGGGGTGGTTTCTAAATTTGGACGTTTTAAATCATCTTTTGCGATAAATTTTTTTTTTTTAATTAATCAGTTTTGCTAGTTGTTCAAACACTTCACTTGGATCTATAAAGTGATTAAATCAGCTAAAATATTACATGTGATGATGAGGCAACTCTTTTTCAAGTTGAGTTATTTTAATTACTCTGAGTGAAGGTTTATGAATGGTCAGCTCCTAGCTATTTTGGAAGTACTTTCATATCTGATGTTTTTTTTTTATGATTCCCACTGGTAATATACTGCATCCTTTTCCTTTCAGCATATGTGAGGCATACTACAAAAAGCATGCTGAGAGAATTGGGTAAGTATTACATCACTTGTTAACTTCAACCGTTTCACAGACGAGTGTTGAT